CATATCTAATAATACGCCTTTTGGTTGCCTCGTTAAAAACCTTGCAAGGAAAACCCAGTGGGACAAAACCTTGTAAGGGAAAAAGAGTACAACGCGTATTAACTCCCCCTCATGAGAGCATCACTTTCACATCCTTAAGCATTTGCATTCCAATCTTGTGCACCATCTTCAAAAGATCTTTGGTAGAGATTTGATAAACAAATCAGTCATATTAACTTGAATGAATATATTGCACCTTGAAATCATCATTCTTGATAGAGATGAATTGTCTTCATATGATTTTGTTGGAATCGTCAATTCAATATCTTCACATAGAGGTACTCTTGCTATCATATTATCATGCATATAGTTATAGCAAGATACATTTGTGCACAAATTGCACTGAGGATGTGGTACTTCAAGATCAAGAATTGTATATGCTTCAAGCAACTTAAATCCTTCATGGATTGTCATATAAGTTAAGTCATATAAGTCATATAATAGACTTTAGATGCATATCAAGTTTTCATGTCATACTAGACATATAAGATATCAAAAACTGATTGCACATATCATTGACTTTATACTTTCAAGTGTTTGAACTACATGTTCAAAACAACATGTCTTTCATATGAAACCAATTCTACTTGAATTGTTTCTTCAGACTTAAGATCCTCATATATATATTTAGCGCTATCATAGATGTCGTCGGCGAACATTTTATATCGGTTTCAACCTCCTTATTTTTCATAAAGACATAATATAGAGATCTCTTCATTGATATATTCAGGTACCTGAATCTCTCATGAGATTTTATGAAGTGTTATGTCATGTGATCTTCTAGATCACTTGCCTCCTTTTATGATCATTTTGATCATTTGCTCATCTTCTTTATCAAGAAGTTAATTTGAAACCGATTAGTCTATATGCCTTAAGCGTACCACAAACTTTGTCCTTCTAGGACTTAATAGGAGCATTTGCAATGAGAATATAGTTACTTTCTTTGGGTCAACAAATGCGTCTGGCATGCTTTGCAATATATTGCAGATGAATTGTATTTTTATGAACCTCAAGTTCATATTATGTTATTCGAGGATCTAGATGTACAAATGATAATTCATTCCATGTAACGTTTTCTCAACTGTTAATCATGTCTCCCTCTCATGTTAGAAAAATTAACTTGTTACCTCAACTTTGAGAATCCACCTTTGTGTGTTATGGTGTTAATCAAAATATACACCGCACATCAATAATAATAAGATGGAATTATTTGGTTCCTGACCCTGAACCACTTGTGAGGGGAGAAAATAATATACTTTGGTATATAACGTATATCAAACTGATATAGATAACTTGGTTCTCATAAACAATTGTTTAGCTATTAAGTAGAGACACTTAATAAATTATTTTGCTAAACCAACTGTGATGTAAACCAACTTATCAAGATGAACTTCTTGAATAGAAAATCTAGAAATTATGCTCTAAATCAAATTATTGAGCAATTTACCTCGCAAAACACCATGTTGCGGGTTATTAATAATCGCACATGTAACCATCTCATAGGTGCATCTTATGTGGTATATATGGCAGGTGAATGGGCCCATATTCACCTTTGATATTTTCAGTATTCATGGGATTCAATCCCAATTTTAGTTGATCAATTAATTAATGAGAACAAGCAATGTAAGAGAATTCGTAAAGAACTTTCTAGTTCTTTAATATTTACCCATGTGAATTCTCTTTTATTTTTGCACATCATACTTGAATTAACATGGCTAAACCAATTATATCAACTGGATAAACTATCAATATTGATAAACTTCAGGTTTACACCATGATGTGTGCAATTATGAATAAACTCCAAGTTTATTATGATATGGGTTTTTTATATCAATAAATATCCACTTCATTGTGGTATTCTTTTGTTTATGTAGTACAAATTGGAGAATAAAGCGGGTAGCTTTTCACATACATATTATCCCGCTACAAGTTGTAGTAATAGAAGATATTAAATCTTTCCTTTATTTATAGTCTCAATATAATCAACCGCTTTCGCGTGTACTTTGGAAACTGAATAAGTTTCTTTGAGACTTACTACAACACAATACCTTATTGGTAATTAATTGTGTTTCTCCAAAATAGTATAATTGGCTCTTGTAGAGTTCTCAATTAATTTTGTAGTACCACATACTCATCAACACCTATATGGTAATATCTCTTTTAAAGAGAAAGTTATACCATTATGGTTATGGTCAAAATTATATGCAAGATCTGTTTCTTGCATTACCATTGTCTTTTAACAATCACAATGCCAAAATATTTTGGAGTATAATAGGTACGTGACCAATGACCATTCATGTCATAATAATGACATTATTGTCTTATATCATCTCAAACCTCCTTTTAGAGGTGAGTGCGGTATATTCACTACCACTAGCACGTTCATATTCTTTGAAGAATGAATATGTATTCATAAATCAGATGTTGTCACATTCACATCATGAATGGACCATAATCATCTATATGTGCTTTACAAAATCTCATGTCAAATCGATGACAAATATTTTTCACAGAGTGAAAGATTATTTTGAGAATCCTTATTGTTCTCATTACCACAAATGATGACGATTATAATTTCGTCTATTGCCACGTCCATATCCATTGATACATTCATAGTAATAATTTTGTCTTCTTTCAGACTCATCACATACTGCTATTACATTCTCTTTAGGGAATGAGAATGGAGCAAATTCAATGGGACGGGTTTTCAATTCTTTGCCCACAATCATACATGAATTTGATCATGGCGAGGCATAGAAATTTTACCACTTCAGGTGGTTATAATTTCTTACGAACTCCATTAGAGTTATAATCAAACTTTGTTGTCTTTGCTTGTATTTAAAATCAAAGTATAGAATAAAAGAGAAAAATACGGTAAAATACTTACCTTAAATTCAGAATTTAATCATGAAGGAAGTTCATGGAATAATTGACAATCATTATGCTCAATCCCAAAGCTTCTACTCAATTGGTTAGAGTCTCGTGCTGATAACGTGTTATAAAACAATAAAAGAAGAAGAAGAGTATTGCAGAGAAAAGTAGAGGGAGTAAATTCCTATTGATTTGGGATCAATTACAATGGAATAGAACCTTCTATTTATAGGGAGAGGGTGACTTAGCCACCAAGTAATAAACCCTAGAATCTCTCTAAATATAGACATTCACCATAAATAAAATTCTATTTATAACAGAAAACATATTATTATACATTATTTTATTAATGTCAGATATGAAATGGTATATTAGTAATACGGAATTGTATAAGACCAAGTATTCTTATACCTCAAAGCAAACGATATATCCCTCTAAAGTTAAACTATAATAAATCAAATTGTTCTCTAATCCGAACACCCCTAGAACTTTTCTTAAACAGTGCACTCCGAAGGAAAACGACATTAAACTACTTAACTTGTTTGCATTAATGACGAGAAAAACACATGTCTAGTGTTCTAGAAGTCTCATTTGGTCGAGAACTAGCAGGAAAATTCCTTGCACAAAATTTTCATCGTTATGCTTCCAGAAAATATGTGTATATGTCCATAGTGGATCAATCTTGAATCTTCTTGTGAAGTCCTGAACTCTAGAGGGTAAAAAATTGTCCCAACTGACAGAAGCATAAAATGATGATATTTTAGTGTGAAAAGTATTAAGTAGTAATTAATGAAGACGAAGTGAAAATTTTATGTTATAGATTCCTATGTCATGAAATTACGTTTGTCCAGCCAAGGACGTTTTCTCCTAAAAAATAAAACTCTCTAATGACCAATGAGTATTATCAGATTTGGTAATTTCTTCAGGTCAATATGTTTTATTTTCAATTAAATGACCATTTTCAGCTTTTGTAAGTTTATGACAGTAATGTTATGGATTATTTATTTGCATAAATACGATTCTTAAGTTTTATTTGATGATATTACACAGTCAAGTCATGACTTACTTAAAAGCCATTTAATGATAAGTGAAGTGACTAGTATTATTTTCAGTTGGAGTTTTGTACTTAACAACTTCAGTTTTATAAAACAGACTAAATTAAAAAATAACAAGCAATAGCAGATGTAACCAAACTCAGTATTTTTGATATAAAACATAAATATATATGTAAAAAATAATAAAGTATTAACAAATGGTAGATTTCGAACTCATACAGTTTTAGTAATTATTACTAAAAATTCTAAGAATCGATCCTATTGATTAAAATTTTGAATCTGCCTATAATAAAAAACACTAGTGGGCATAACCTAAGTCGACAACTATCATCTTTTGTTAGAAAATGAGGAAAGGGTGATTTGACACCGCTAAAGGTGGCAAAATGGTTAAAAGAAAATATTTATCTACTCATATTATCCATAAAAAAATGGGTCAGATAATGAACCATTTAAAAAGGGGATAGAATATAGATAAAGAACCATATTATCCACCTAGAAAATGGTTAACCAAATGGATAACCAATGGATAACTAATGTGTTTAACTTTTACATTTGTAAAGCCTCAAATTGGAGTAGTTCAAGTTTGGAATATAAGAATTATCTCATAAGTGATCATATTTAAGAAGCCATGGATAATATGGATATCCATATTATCCGTCGGATAAACCCGTTTTTATCCGTCTCAAATACGGCTCGGGTTGGATAATTTATCCGTTTTTTAAATTATCCGTTTCGACCCGCTCATATTCGACCCGACCAGACCTGCCCGTTTGCCACCCCTAGATATATCCAACTTGGCTTGGAATATTTCTACGTGGATAGAGAAGATGACTTGACAAATACGCGGTTAATTTATCTCGTTTTCATGGGGTTTTTAATCTAAGCAATGATCTAATTAATCGGCTAGTAAAACTTAAAATAAGAAAGAAAATAAAAGAGGAAAATTCAGAGGGAAAAACTCCAAAAGTTAAGAGTAGAACCGAACACGTTTTGCGGGTATAAATATGAGACACGGTTTTAGTATGAAGTAATAAAACTTTTGCAATCCTTTAAATACCCACCATAAACAAGAAGCAAAAAAGCAATAGAATACTTCATTTGTCCCAAAACCTCCTGAATTTTCCTCAATCGTGATCACCAAAATTAAGAAAATGGCTCTTAAAGCAGTTCCAGTTTCTCAAGTTCCATACATTGATCAATTCCATGAAAATAATGCCCTCTGCAAATATATAGGGGAAGATGGTAATTAATTAACTCCTCCATTTCTTGTTTTGTGTCAGCCTTCTTCCCCTTACCTTATTTCCTTGAGATGATTTTTTAACATGCAAATATATAGGGGAAGATGATGTTGGTGAGAGGAGAAAAATGGCGACATTCATTTTAAAGGAGAATAAGTTTGTAGTGATGGGACATAGAGGAAGTGGAATGAACTTGTTGCAATCTTGTGATAGGAGATCAAAAGCAATTAAAGAGAATACGTTGCGTTCATTCAATGAAGCTGCTAAATTCAACGTCGACTTCATCGAATTTGACGTTCAGGTGAGACGATAACCCTCAAAATCATGCGTTTTTCAGACCATTTTTCACTCCTCTCTTTCCATTTTGTTTTTAAATTTAAATTTTGATTGTGATAGCAATTTTAAGCAAGAACTTTTTTACGTGTCAACACAACTTTGAGTAATTTAACTTATTATTACAATGGCAGAGGCGTTGAGAATTGTTTTTGATCCTTTTTGGAAAACTGTTGGAAACGACACGAGCCACCGCGTATACGTGGCAGGTGGTGTCCAATTTTGTCACAAAAACCTCTCGATAACACATCATTTACTTGGTCAAATAAGTAGTTTTCATATACAATTATATACCGAAACTTTTAATTTTTGTAAATATTTTAATCATCATAAAATTATAACGTATAATACTATTTATACTGTGACTAACATCCAAAACTCTATTAATTTTTTTGAAGAATTGATCAGGTCACACCACAATTTAGATGTTTTGATCTTTGTACTCCAATCTCGTCATTTCGTTTTTGTAACCGGAGTATTTATTTATTTATTTATCTATTTGAAGAGAGAGGCAAAAGCATTGATATATAGAACATCAATCCTAAGATTTGTGGATTTGTGTGTTCTTTTGGGAATTGGAGATAACTTGTTTGGTATTGAAGTGTCTGAGCTAAATATTTTCTTTCACATTGTGTCTGGTTAGTCTATTTTTCCTATGCATATTTGAATTCAATGAGGCACTGATTTTTTCTTTGTCTTTTCAATTTGTTTTCCTCCTTTCGAAATCGGCCCTGGTTCTTGGTAGGTTTGCTTGCAAAATATAACGGGGCAAGCAAAGAACCATAGATGAAACTGTGTATCAACATCTTTTTGTAGGTAACAAGAGATGGCCATCCAGTTATTTTCCATGATATCTTCATTCTTACACAAGAAGAGGTTGGTTACAGAAAATCCACTATAACCAATGCTTAAATATAATAACTTTAGGATGTCCTGACTCTTAATATGGACATTACAATTACTTTTCAGGGCAAGTTGATTGAGAAAAGAGTAACAGACCTCACATTGGAGGAGTTCCTTTCATATGGACCTCAGAATGCCTCAACAAACGTAATGGATTCTTCGCTCTTTGTACTATAGAGGGTTCCGAGTTTGTAAAACTATACTGATCATACTCTTCTTAAATAGGTGGAAAAACCTTTATTCAGAAAAACAAAAGATGGGAGAATCTTTGAATGGAAAGTCGACGAGGATGATCGATTCTGTACGCTAGAAGATGTGTTCGAGAATGCCAGTCAGTCTGTAGGATTTAACATTGAGTTCAAGTTTGATGATAACACAAGTTATAAAGAAGAAGAACTTGTTGGTGTTATTCTAGCAGTTTTGCAGGTAGTGCAATCATTTGACACAAGTAGCGTCTCTTCTTTTCCTATGACACAAAAAATTGTACTAACAATTTTAGTATAACATACTATGAGTCAGGTAGTGTTCAAGCATGCCAAAGGTAGGTGCATTATGTTCTCAAGCTTTCAACCAGATGCAGCTCAATTGATCAGGAAGCAACAGACCACTTATACGGTGAGTAATAACATTTTAGGTTAACTGCAGTTCCATAACTACGCCGAACTATCTTCTAGAGGAAAGCTTAATTATTGTATGAGTTCGCTTCAGTTACCTTACGAGCGGGCAGAGTTTTCCCTTTATTTATTTTCTTTAATAATAGATTGGACATTTCATTTGAGCATTTCTTGGAATGTGTCATCTATGACTGTCCAGGTTTTCTTCCTAACAAATGGAGGATCTGAAATCTATTCCGACATGAGAAGGAACTCATTGGATGAGGCAATTAAGTTGTGCTTAGAAGGTGATCTACAAGGAATTGTCTCAGAGGTCAAAGCCATTTTAAGAAATCCAACAATGATAGCAAAAATCAAAGAATCAAAACTTTCCATTTTGACATATGGCCAGCTAAAGTAAGTAAGACATGTTGTTGCATTTAATAAGAGAAAGTGATTAGACTATGTAGTTTAAAGGCCTAGTATTGTCACATAAATATAATATGTACAATTGCAGTAATGAGCAGGAGGTGGTTCACTTGCAATACATGATGGGTGTTGAGGGAGTAATTGTAGATTTTGTTAAAGAGATTACTTTAGCTGTTTCCCAGTTTTCGAAACCAGTTTATGCTGGAAAAGAAGGCTTGTCATTGTTGGAGAAGAGGCTACTAGCAGAGAAACGAACTCCCTGTTCGGATGATGAACTCTCATATTTCCGTAGGCTTGTTCCAGAGTTAATACATTCTTGAACTGCTGTGTCACAAACTTTGCAACTTTATGTTTTTTTTCCCTCTTTCATTGCTGTATTTTGGTTTGTTGTTGTACCTTTTCAATATTAGGTCGTGTAATATAGTTTGGAATAGGGACATGTATTATGAAAAGGATATTAAACAATCAACTGTAAACAGGGGATCAATGTACATTTTGCGTCTAAATTACATATATATATATATTTACAAAGAGTGCAAAATACATGGATATTCATAAATAACATACTAACAAAGGACGTGATTGGGCTATGACTTCTGTGGATTCAATGCAAGTCAGATCAAAAACCCAAGAGAGAAGTTTATGTAAAAATAGAACGGTATAGCCAGTTTTCGGACTGGTCAATCAAAAATAGCCAGCGTTTACCAAGTCAATGAAAAATAGTCATCGTTTTGCCGCAATAGAGACCGGTCCAGCATAATATACTGGAGTTGAGTTCGGTGCACTTGTGTATGAACTCCAGCATATTATGCTGGACCGGTATACTTTGCTGGCTCCAGTATAATATACTGGAGCATTGGTGCTCCAAACTCCAGTATATTATACTGGACCAATATACTTCCTGGAACTCCAGTATAATATGCTGGAGTTCAAGTATACTTATGCTGGAACTCCAGCATAATATACTGGAGTATTTTCCGGCTTTTGAACAGTGTTTTCGTTTAGATTTATCTTTACATAAAAAGTGCCTAAATTTCGATTACTTTTGAAATTGGGCTATTTTTGAACGACCAGTTGTAAATCTGGCTATTTTTAAATTTCTCCCGAAGTTTATGGATTAATTCAATTTTTATAATTCAAGTACGTTGGCATTTAAAATTACCATAATGAGGAAATAACGATAAAAGAGGGCTTTTTCCATACTTGTTGCATTGATGCACGAGGCACAATAACAAAGAGTTACCTAGTAATATCTCTATCAACTCCCTCACAGATAGTAGAAAATCCATAAACCACAGTTAAAATGAATGTCGAAACATATATTACATCCTGAAATTGATTAGTTCAAGAACACTCTTAAGCAATTCAGAGGGTGATATAAAGGCCATCGTCCTTTGCGGTATAGTAGAAATATAACAAATAACAAAGGGGTAGGAAAAGGCAAGCATTTACCTGAGGCAGAATACTAAATCATACAACAGAAACTATATACAAAGTTGAGGCAGAATACCTAGACATCATACAACAGAAAATAGATACAAAGCCTAGGGCATGTAGGGGTAGAACTGCATATTAAACGTATATTCACGGGGTGGAGTGTTAGGGCCGAAAAAATCAGGTGTCATGCGGAATCTAGCAAAACAAACCTTGAACGACGATAAGTCCGACAACAAAAGAGAAATATACCAAAAGAGACACAAACATATAACGTGGTTCGGTCAACTGACCTACATCCACGGCGAAGATGAGCAATCCACTATATAAAAAGAGAGTACAAAATATCGAGAGAACAACCTCACGAAGAGGCAAACACAAGTGACACACTAATACTTGTCCCTTAAAGTTCTCCCCCTAAACACGACTCTCAAACCCCATATGGTTACATTGTGGATGCTACTGAATGAGAAGGGCGGATCCTCAATTTATAGAACTCCAAACCTTTTCCTACAAGAAAAGGTACTAGCCAAATATGGAAGAATTGTATTTTCCTTCTAGAAAAAGAAAAACCCAATTATGGTAAATATGTTGTCCTTTCCTTCATGAAATAGGAAAATCAGTTATGGTAAGAAAATCTGGGCAAACACCTAACAATTCTCCCCCTTGGCCTGAATTTTCTGACAAAATAAATTTGACCCACCTTCTTCACATAGCCTTCAACAGGTCACATCTTCAAATCTCCACCACAAAGTTTATCTCAACGTGCGTAGCACATCGGTCAAATTTCTCAGACAAAAGTCACGAATATCGTCAAATATGTTGCGGCTAGAACTGAACCCGCCAAGATGAACTTGTCTTGAACCTTGCTCTGATACCACTTGTATGTCGAGGAAGAGGCAAACCCAAAAATAAAGAAGATAAAGAACACCAAATTAACGTGGAAAACCCTTCAAATCGAAGGTAAAAATCACGGGATCACAAAGATCCAAAAAGCTCCACTATAACAATAAGAGGGTTACAAAAGTTCTCCAAATTGGCTGCACAACAAGTTCCAAACACGGAGCAACAATAGCAACAAGAGCAACAACTAATCAATTGAAGAAAGAGGAGAATTCACCAAAACGAAGCTACTGTCCGAGGCTCAAAATCAGATGCTACGGGCCTCCAAATCCGATCTCCACCATTCAAATCAAAGACCAAGATGTTATGACATTTAGTCAAAATATTAGCCCGATCCAACGGTTAGCGAATCAGGAAACCTGATTTGAAGTTGGTTGGTCGGAAAAAATCTGCAGCAAAACGAATACTTTTCTTCTCTCTTCTCTCTTGATGAAAACTCTCTCAAAAACCACTCTTATGTGCTTAAGTCTTTCAAATACTTCTACCAATGAGCATAGAATAATTCTCCAAGGTTGTCCTATTTATAGATCATGAGTGGTGGTTTCATTTAAAGCCAAAACCCACTCAAAATTGGAATAAACACCGAATCCAATTCCGAGGAATTAAAACCAAAAGAGAATAGGATTACGCCACTGGACCTTTGGCTGGACCACATGGGCATGTGCCCAACAAATTCCCCCTCCAGCCAAGGGGCCAAATTTGTCTTCAAGTAGAAGAACTATTGATAGGCTTCATGCCTGCCAATTTTTTGCGAAACGCATGCTTATCCGCAAGCTTAACTACGAAGTCCTCAGGCTGCTCCATATAAATCTACTCATCTAAATCACGATGAAGAAAAGCAGTTCTGACATCCATCTGCTCAACCTCTAAACCTAGACTTGCGGCTAAGCCTAGAATAACAGAAATAGAGGACATCTTCACAACAGGGGAGAAAATTTCATCAAAGTCAACTCCCTTCTTTTGGCCAAAACCTTTAACAACTAACCTCGCCTTGTATCTAGGCACGTAGGTATGATTATCTTGCTTTATTCTGAATGTATATTTGTTAGTTAAAGCTCTCTTACCTTTCAGCAATTTCACTAACTCATATGTGTCATTCTCATGGAGTGACTTCATCTCATCCTCCATGGATTTGATCCACTGATCCTCGTGAGTGTCTTGCATGGCTTCATCATAATTCTCAGGTTCTCCCATGTCAGTCAAAAGTACATACTCATCAGGAGGATAGCACATGGATTTTTGCTTTTCCCTTGTAGATCTTCTAAGAGAGATTTCAGGAGCATTCGAAGTAGTTACCTGAGCAGGAATTAGTTGTTGATCAACCACAACTTCATCAACTGGAGCATCCATAACATCTACATCATGATGATCATTTTGATCTTGATCACTATCTTCATTATTGTCTTGGGTTCCTTCATGTGCAATAAGTGCCTTAGCAACAGAAACTGGATCAATATCAACTAAGGTCTCATTACTCTGAGAATCTGTCTTCTCAGCTTTGTCAATATCTTCAATAGTCTGGTCTTCAAAGAATATTGTATCACGACTTCTAATAAGTTTATTGTCAACTGGATTGTAAAAACGATACCCAAACTCATCTTGACCATAACCGATAAAGATGCACTGCTTAGTCTTGACATCCAGTTTCGATCTTTCATCTTTAGGAACATGCACACAAGCTTTACACCCACAAACTCTCAGCTTATCATAAGAAATATCTTTGGCAAACCAAACTCTATATGGGACATCACCATCCAAAGCAACAACAGGAGACAAATTGATAACATAGACAACAATATTAAGTGCTTCCGCCCAAAATGTATTTGGAAGTTTAGCCTCTGAAAGCAGGCATCTAATTCTTTCAACTAGAGTTCTATTCATCCTGTCTGCCAAACCATTCAATTGAGGCTTCTTGGGCGGAGTTTTCTGATGACGAATTCCTTGTTCCTTGCAATAGTTATCAAATGGACCACAATATTCACCACCATTGTCAGTGCGAATACATTTTAATTTCTTCCCCGTCAGTCTCTCAGCTAAGGCCTGAAATTCCTTCAATACGCCAAGTGCTTGATCTTTAAATTTCAAAGGATACACCCAGAGCTTACGAGAATGATCATCAATGAAGGTCACAAGTAAAGTGCACCATCTTTTTTTTGACTTTACTTTAAAAGGACCACACAAATCATAGTGTACTAGCTCCAATAAATCGAGCTTTCTTGAGGGAGGATGGCTATGAAAGGAAACCCTTTTCTGTTTGCCAGCTAAACAATGGATACACCTTTTCAGCTATGCTTGTTTCACTCCAGAAATCAAACTTTTCTTAGACAAACACGTAATCCCCCTCTCGCTCATATGACTCAATCTTCTGTGCCATATTCTGATAAAGTATCACTTTCCACCAGATGTATTGAGTCATTAATAATAGAGCCCTATGTCACATATAAATGACCAGACTTGACTCCTCGAGCCACTACTAACGAGCCCTTAGTGAGCTTCCATTGGCCATAAAAGAGGGCATTATGGTAACCTTCATCGTCTAATCGTCCTATGAAGATCAAATTGAAAGGAAAGTCTGGAGCATGCTTGACATCTCGAAGAACTAACGTTGAACCATTATTAGTTTTCAAACAAACTGTGCCAACACCAAACACCTTAACTTCACTGGCATTGCCCATCTTTAACACTCCAGAATCAACAGGAGTATAAGATGAGAAAAAGTCTTTTCTTGGTGTGACATGTGATGTAGCTCCAGAATCTACTATCCAGCTCGTCTCATGGGATACCAAATTGATGACATTTTCATCATAAGCAAAAAGAAGGTCATCTCGAACAATAGTAGCAACATATTCTCGTTATTTTCAACTTTTTTCCTTCTCTAATGTCTTGCAACAACTTGTGGCAAAGCCTTTTGATATGTCCTTTCTTGCCACAGTGGTTGCATGTAATATTATGGTATTTGGACCTTGACTTACTTCTACTTTTACCTCTATTCCTCGAGCCTCTTATTCTATCTCTCCCCCGGTCTTGTGTAACCAAGATATCTGCTTGCGAGGACGAACCCTGAAATTTTCTCCATACTTCCTCTTTCAACACACCACTCTTGGCATATTCCATGGTCACCTTACCTCCAGGAGCTGAATTTGTCAAAGAAACACGAAGAGTTTCCCAATAGTCAGGCATAGTATTTAGAAGCCAAAGTCCGTGTATCTCATCATCAAAATTAACTCCCATTCTAGACAGCTGATCAAGGACACCCTGAAAATCATTTATGTGATCAAGGATATGGCTGCCTTCCTTGTATTTATAGGTCATCAATTGCTTTAGCAGGAACAACTTGTTGTTCCCAGTTTTTGAAAAATAAAGAGTCTCTAGCTTTTCCCACAATGATCTCCCATATGTCTCGTTCACAATATGGTTGCGAACATTATCTTCAACCCATTGTCATATATATCCACATACTTGTTGGTGCTCGAAATCCCAATCTTCATCAGATATACTCTCAGGTTTATGAGCAACAAAAATGAGTAGATGCATCTTCTTCACGAACAACAAATCTTTCATCTTGCTTCTCCAAACGTTATAATTTCTCCCATTTAAACATACCATCTTGCTCATATTCGCCTCCATTCCGTAACAACCCGGATAAATAACCAAGGATCTGATACCAATGTAATGAAAAAAAAACATGTTGTAAAATGAAAAACTCAATTATGGTAAATATCTTGTCCTTTCCTTCATGAAATAGGAAAACCAATTATGGTAAGAAAATCTGGACAAACACCTAACAATTCTCTCCCTTGGCCTGAATTTTCTGACAAAATAAACTTGATCCACCTTCTTCACATAGCCTTCAACAGGTCGCATCCAAATCCCAACCACAAAGTTTGTCTCAACGTGCGTAGCACACCGGTCAAATTTCTCAGACAAAAGTCACGATTATCGTCAAATATATTGCGGCTAGAACTGAACCAGCCAAGATGAACCTGTCTTGAACCTTGCTCTGATACCACTTGTTAGGACCACAAAATCAGGTGTCTTGCGGAATCTAGCAAAGCAAACCTTGAACGACAATAAGTCCGACAACAAAAGAGAAATATACCAAAAGAGACACAAACATATAACGTGATTCGGTCAAGTGACCTACATCCTCGGCGAAGATGAGCAATCCACTATATAAAAAGAGAGTACAAAATATCGAGAGAACAACCTCACGAAGAGGCAAACACAAGTGACACACTAACACTTGCCCCTTAAAGTTCTTCCCCTAAACACGACTCTCAAACCCCATATAGCTACATTATGGATGCTACTAAATGAGAAGGGCGGATCCTCAATTTATAGAACTCCAAACCTTTTCCTACAAGAAAAGGGACTAGCCAAATATGGAAGAATTATATTTTCCTTCTAGGAAAAGAAAAACCCAATTATGGTAAATAAGTTGTCCTTTCCTTCATGAAATAAGAAAACCAATTATGGTAAGAAAATCTGGACAAACACCTAACATGGAGCAAGGATTTGAAATTTATGGGTTCTGAACTTGACCCTAAACCCATAGCATATCATAGTTACTAGGTTTGCAATTATATATTTATAAAATGTTAATGGATGTTAGTTTGAGTGCCTTTTTGGGTTACTAAAGAACTTGGTTCGTTAACTTACTCCTTAACCGAATGTGAAACAAACAGTAAAGTAAATACATCAATTTTTACGTGGAAAATCATCCGGCTCAAAAGGTGCAAAAACCACGACCTACTACGTAGGATTTTAACTTCACCTCCACTAAAACAAATGAGCCAAACATATCGATTACAAGACCTGTAAAACAATACCCTCCAGTTCTCCTACTTGAACTATTTGACTTACAAGTTACTCTAACTTGCAAAACCAAACAATCACTTCAACTCACTGATTATATGTGACACTTTAATCGTCTTGAGTATAGAACATGTAGTTCCTCGGTTGATATGCAAAAGGATGATATCTGCAGTCCAAAAGTATAGTATTAAAATTTCATTGGACTCCGAGATCTTTGAGGAGTCCTATGTGTAGTCAGCTTCTTATTTGATAAGACTCCAACAGCTTGAAGGACTCCACAATTCTTGGGACTGTTATCTCTCACTTATGCAAGCATATATTCTTGGACAACAACCCTTATCATGTTTAGCAGTCCTCTTCCAATGAACTCGTACTTGATTATCTTAGTGATAAAGTTACTGACTTGTAAGAACATGCAATCAGCGACCTTGAGGACTTGGTTCTTAGAACAGTTCAGCAGCTATATTGAGGACTTGGTTCTTAGAGCATTTCCTCTGAACAAACTTAATTAATCATCAAAACCTTAATACTCAAAAAATTCCCTCTTTTTGATGATGAAAAACTTTGTGCGTATAAAACCAGTTAATCATTTCATCATAACAACAAGATAATCAACAATCACACAACCAGGCACATCAAACACCAAACAACCCCAACTCTATCTTCCTCCTTTTGGCATCATCGAAAAAATAAAAAGATGTTAAACAGATTAATCATAGTTAATGCAAGATTCATGGCCATTTAGGCTACAACACAAGCTCAAGAATTATTAAGACAGATACACTAAGCTGATGATACACCTATATGAGAAGTATTAAAACAGCATAAGAGAATTCATTTAGTAGTGCCAAATTAAGCCCAGGACCTTGCCTAAAAACATTAGAGCAAAATAAACTGGAACATCTTGCAACCTACTTAGAACTAGAAAAAAAAAACATAAAGCACCACCGGGTTAACAAAACAAGCTGAAGACATAGGATAAAGGACCAGGATCAAGGCTGAGATGAGGAGGGGGTCAAGGATGGCAATTTGTTGGGCATGAGCCTCTCCGTCCCTTATGAGATCTTCCGTAATCTGCCTGGTTTCTTTTCTCAACACATTATTGTCTTCTCTAAGCTTAGCATTCTCCTCAAGAGCCAGCTCCAACCTATTAGAGAGCTCAGCTGCCCTGCTACTGCAAGGTAAAATAGTCGAACCTGTTGGCCTTCTAGCCTTGATCTCCTCATATCCACACTTCTTGAGTGTAACAATATCCATAACATCATTATGATTGCCAAACTTAAGCTCAAGCAAGGCAATGTTGATCTTGTCAAACAGCTCAGTTAGCATGAAGCCATAACGCATAGTATGCTTAGGCCTGGAATTGTCTGTAGCCCTTGCATGTGCTGAATCATCAGGCTAGAAAGGTTTATGGCTCTACCAGTATCCAACAGTTCAATCACAGCCATGTCAAGCAGGGTGGCTTCATGCCTCCTCTCAGATCTCTGCAGTATGCAGGAGCTCACAAAGTGAAACAACAACTCGTGAAAAGAAGTCATGTCAGTCTTGTACACCTTCTAGGGAGCATCCAACTCAAACTTTTGAGAAAATTTCCTTGTAACCACAATGCCTGTGTCCACATCATTGTCTATATCTGGCCATTGCTTCTTTATATAATTGTCAAATCCTAAGGAAGGAATGTTCAGGAGCAGCCCAAGCTCTTCAGCATCAAACTCCACCTCAAACCCCCTTACAAAACTCTTGACCACCTTGCCATCAAATTGGAAGTTTGCATAAAACTCCACTACAACAGGCACACACACAGGTGAAATGTCTTAATAAGAATATGTCTCCATCCCTGTAGTTCAAGCTTTTCAACTAGATGAGCCATACCTTTCTCATTTGTATTTGCAAGGATCGTCCGATTTAACACTTTTCTATTCATGAATTCAGTAAGCTTGTCAACCACAACAGGTATAACCCTCTTCTTCTTTCCTTTACTAGCCTTCTTAGATGTGGTAGTTGCCCTGGTGGATTTAACAGCCTTCCTCTTCTCTGTTGGTTTCTTGGCTTGTAGAGGAGGGTTTAACATCCTTCCTCTTCATCCAGCTCAACTATAGGTTCAGCAACAGAAGCTTTCTTTCTTGGCTTCTTGGCACCTCTGGATTCCATAATGATCTGTTCATCAACATCCTTTCTTTTGCTCCTTGTGTGAGGAGTCCTATCAGGAGGGACCAGTTCTTTTCTTGTGGGGAGAACTGATTTTGTAGCTTTCACAAGGGTCTTTTTGCTCTTTTTCCGTACTGCAGACAAGGGTAAATCATCCTCATCACTGCTGACCTCCTCATCTCCAACAAAAGAAGTTGACGAAGACCCAGTTTCTTCAGCCCTTTTCTCTCCACTAACTTCTTTTAAATGGGCTATAACAGTGTTCCCGATAGCCATATAGCCTTCAAATTCCCCACTTGTATTTTCTTATTCACTTTCACATTCAGTACTTTTACTTTCACTTCCCTTTTTCTTCTTCATCACCTTCACTCTCAGATTCACCTTCTTCCTCACTTTCGTTTTCTTTTTATTCTTCTCCAAAATCTTCCACTTGTTCACCTAACTATTCTTCTGCCTCACTTCCTTTTCCTGTCCAGATTCCCCTTCATTCTCACTCTTCTTCTCATAATTACCTGAGCCATATCCTGAGCCTGATGCTCCTCATGATTAGCTACCTCTCCTCATTCTCCATCAACTTCTTCTTCACCCTCATCCTTAGTCCAGCATTAAGAAAGACCATCACAAGCCTATTTATTCACTAGTTCTTTCTCACCTTCCCCTTTAACCATAGGTATGATATTTATGGTGTCCACACTTTTCTCCTAAGTTGTAACTTTTGTTTCTAAAGCAGTATCCTCTACTATTGGTTTGTCACTCATGGGTGGAATGATTTCTAGGGCTGCAACCTTAATAGCAGAAACCAGAACATCTAACTTTGATGGAGGTAATCTTACCTGATTAGTAGTAGTAGACGCAGATTCCTCCTGAGCCACAACTTCTTTAACAATTGTTTGCCCTTTAGCAGCAGCACGAACTACCACCCTGTCACTCTTAACTAATTTTCTTGGCGTAGCCTTTATCTTAGTGGGTTTAGAGGTAATTTTGGGAACAAATACAGGTGCATGTGAAGTTGGTTTTGGGGATGAAGGTCCAGTAGATGTGGGAATATCGGGTGCAGCAGGAGCAGGGACAATGGTGTGTGTATAGTAGAGGGTACGTGTGGAGAAGGAACAGGTGCGAGTGCAGATTCACATGTTGATTTTGCACTTTTCTTAGGCTTAGGCTTCATGCTTTTGGGTTTTGCTTTAGTCTTGGATGAGGATTTTTTTAGAGGGTGTTTGGCTTGATTTAGGCATGGTGATGGGAGAACGAGAGTGATGAGCGAACAAGAGAATTTTCTTTTTATTCTTGCTTGGGGTTTGAGAGGAACACTAAGGTCGGAGAGATGGATCGCAAGAGGGCTTTTAAAGAGGGTAGTACTGATTTGACTGGAAGAAAGAGAGTAACCAAATTTGAGTTCTAACGGGACTCTAATAACGGTTACTTATGACTACTAGACTTTTAGAAGTAATTAGACTCTAATTGCTCTAGGATTCCCCCTTGATCCTTGACTTGATGACAAATAGGAACGATGCTAAGATGATTAGAGAGTCTGAGTATAGCAGTAATTTCAGTTATTAAGTCCCAATGATTTAATACAAGATGATACGTACCCGAGTCAAAGAACCAACTCCTCAGTCATTTCAACAATAAATCACAATAGGTCAGTATCATAAGGCATAGTTATCAACTAGACTTTTTTGGGCGGGTTTGTGTGCTCAAGACAAGCACGCGACTGAACCAAAAACATTATACTTGATCATCTACATCCAATTATAATTTTTTCTAACCAATCATTGGGGATTCAACATAGTTGGAAGTATTAATTAATCCCAGTTCCAGTCTATTTCTTTCAAAGTGATCCCTACTCAAAGCCTTAGTAAAAATATCAGCAATTTGATCTTCATTTTTACAAAAGTTAATTGAGATACTCCCCTTTTTGACGTTGTCTCTAAGAAAGTGATGTCTAATATCAATTTGCTTGGCTATCTTGTGTTGAAAAGGATTTTTAGCACCTGTTTATCGCACTAGTGTTATCAAAGAAACTAGGAACACATCCAAAAAAAAATACCACAGTCTTTTAGTTGTTGTCTTATCCACAACAATTGAGCATAGCAAGATGGTGCTGCCACATATTCTGCTTCAGCTGTAGACATAACCTCTGAGTTTTGCTTCTTTGTCACCAGGAAAGAACCAAGACAGTGTGCTATTCCTAAAGTGCTTTTCCTATCAACATGAAATTCTGCACAGTCAACATCAGCATAACCAACTAGATCAAAGTTGTATCCTCTAGGATACCACAGACATAGATCAGGATTCCCTTTAAGATATCTGAGTATTCTTTTGACAGCCTTTAGATGAGACTCTTTGGGATTTTCCTGAAATCTTGCACACAATCTCACACTAAATACAATATCAGGCCTGATTGCTGTGAGATACAACAATGATCCAATCATTCCTCTATACAGGTTTTGTTCCACAATTTTCCCTTCTTCATCAAGGTTCAAATTCGTTGCAATGGCAATAGGAGTGTCTATTGACTTAGAAGAGTCCATGTTGAATTTTTTCAACAGTTCTTTGATATATTTTTTTTGATGGATCATGGTTCCAGTAGGAGTTTGCTTGATTTGCAGCCCTAAGAAGAAATTCAATTCACCCATCATGTTCATTTCAAATTCATTCCCGATCATCTCAGCAAATTCCTTGCACATTGCTTCATTAGTAGCCCCAAAAATAATATCATACACATATACTTGTATAGTTAGAAGACTTTTTCCTTTACTTTTCAGAAATAGTGTGTTGTCCACCTTTACAAAGTTATTGGTTAATTAGGAATTTTGAGAGCCTCTCATACCAAGCCTTAGAGCATGTTTCAATCCATAAAGTGCCTGTCTAACTTGAACACACAGGAGGTTGTTTAACTAACACCTCCTCGTTCAGATAACCATTCAAGAATTCACTCTTCACATCCATCTAATACAATGTGAACTCCATGTGTACAACAAAAGCTATTAGCATTCTTATAGCTTCCATTCTGGATACGGGAAAATGTCTCATCATAGTCAATACTTTCTTCTTGATTGTATCCCTGAACCATCAGTCTGGCCTTGTTCCTTGTGATATTTCCTTGCTCATCCAGCTTATTTCTAAACACCCATCTGTGCCTACGATAGTTCTGTTCGTGGATCTTTGCACCAGGTGCCAGACTTTGCTTCTTTCAAACTGGTTTAGCTCCTCTTTCATGGCTATAACCCAATATGGATCCTTTAAGGCTTCTTTTATATTCTTAGGCTCAATCCGTTAGAGGAATACTGTAAGGGCACATAGGTTTCTCAAAGATGACCAGGTTTGTACTCCAGCATTAGGATCAGAGATGATGCTCTCAAGGGGGTGTGATCTTTGATGTTTCCATGGTCTTACTTGCATGCCCAAAGATGGTTCACCTAAGGAGCCACCCAAAGGACCGGTGCTAGTGGTTATAGCTTCATCTGTCTGGGTAGCAGTTAGCGTAGTTCCCTCTTCTTCTTGTTCTTCTTGATCGTTTTCAACTTCCTTAGGATCTTCTAATCCATCTATAGATTGTTGTTCAGGTTCTTTAGAGGTTCCTTCATTAGAGAGTCCTATATCATAGTGTCCATCATGCAGACCTTTCTCAGCCATGTTGTTAGATTCATCAAAAATAACATGAACATTTTCTTCTATACACATAGTTCTTTTATTATAACATTTTGTAAGCTTTACTATGTGGTGAATAGCCCAAAATAATTCCATCATCACTTCTATCATCAAACTTTCCTAGAGCTTCTTTGCAGTATTTAGCACAAAACATTTGCACCCAAAGGCTCTTAGGTGAGTGATGTCGGGATTTCTTCCTCGAAGTAACTCATAGAGAGTTTTCTCAAGAATGGGTCTGACCATGTATCTATTTAGCAAGTAAGCAGTATTGACTGTCTCAGCCAAAAAGCTCTTGGGTATTCCATTGGTAATTAGCATGGTCCTGCACATATCTTCTAGATATCTATTCTTTCTTACACAACTAGTTCTGAGTATAGAAAAGTTATGATTAATACCATGAGTGCTACAGAACTCAAAGAATTTAGAATTTTCAAATTCAGTTCCATGGTCTGTTCATATACTTGAAACAACACAGCCTAGTTTCTGTTGGATCATTCTGACAAACACACAGAAAACATCAAAAGATTTATCCTTAGATGCCAGAAATAGGGTCCATGTGTACCTAGAAAAATTATTTACAATGACAAATATATTCTTTTTTCCTCCTTTGCTCCCGCACTCATTGGTCCACATAGGTCCATGTGAAGGAGTTCTAAGGGTTTAGAAGTGGTGACAACCTTTTTAGATTTAAATGATGACCTTATATGTTTTTCTCTGACACGAGCATCATACACTTTGTCTGAAGTTAACTCAACTTTTGGTAGTCCAAGAACCAGGTCCTTTGCTTCCAACTTGCTGAGCTGAGATAGACTGGCATGTCCTAGTCTTCTATGCCATAACAGTGGTCATCTTCCACTACACTTAAACATGTGTACTTACTTTGTGGAAGATACATACTAGATATCTTGTAGACGTTGTTATGTCTCTCACCTTTCAATACAATTTCATCAGTATCCAGCTTAGTGACAGTGCAGGTTTTGGAATGAAACTTTAACTCATTTCCTTTATCACACATTTGAGAAATGATAAGAAGATTATTTTTGTGACCTACTACATAATACACATCTTCTATAGCATGAGAGAGTGACTTCCCAACCTTACCAATACCTATTATCTATCTTTTTTCCAAATGACACACTCCTTCCTTGGAAAACTGTCAGCGAGAGGAAGTTTTTCTTTTTTCCAGTCATATGTCTTGAGCATCTACTGTCTAGATACCAGTCTTGATTGTTTCCTCTCACTTTATCCTACACCAGAAATCAAAAGTTAGTCTTGAACCCAGACAAACTTGGGTCCCTTTTTATTTGAAAAATGATGAATCAGATCTCTTCTTGCCCAGAAGGGAAGAGGATTAACAATTCTTTTGTTATTGACCTTAGTCCACTTAGTTTGGACAAGAGGATTGACTTTGGATTCTTCTTCCTTCTTCACATTTTTAACAAGACCAAAGGTATTCTTAAATTGAGCATGAATTAAGGCAGAGCAAGTGTCTCTTAAGTGTCCTACCTTCCCATAGAGTGTGCACATCTTGTTATCAGGAATTCCTACATAGTTTGGATCAAACTCGGGTACAGGTTTTCTATAGCCAACTCCTGGTTTGTTAGTGCTACAATTTTCATTCTGCCAATTTAGTGCATCTGAAGATTTATGCCACTTGCTTAGACTAGATAGTTCATATTTTGCTTTTTCAAGATTTTCTAGCAATACTTTATTCCTACATTCAGCATGTCTTGCAGATCACTCATTTTTTTGCAATACTCACAAAGATTATCTTTAACCTCCTTTAATTCATTTTCAAGCTTATCTTGCAGATTACCAACTTAGGGGGCTCAAAATGATAAAACTAGGCGACAAAAAAAAAACAGATTGGACTGCATATAATTGCAATAAAAAGCTCAAGTAACCTCCACACATAAACATGAAAGCACGCAAACTGATTCTTATATTAGGCAGTAGAACATTTCAGAATTAAGACTTAGAGTCCTTAGGTCCTATATGCATGATCTCTATATGATTCCAGTATTATACAGGTAGTGTTGCAGTTTCTGGACTAACGTATGGGCAGATTAGAGCATTACAAGTCCTATAGGCATAATTTCTAGTTGTTTGCGTAATAGGCATTGAAAACTATCAGAGACTGGGAATTACCAGCGCTTGATCCTATAGACATGCTTTCTAGGCGGATAATAGTATTCTATAGTCGAGATTTCCTAACATTTAATATTTGAACTTATTGTTATCATACTTATTCCTATAGGCATGCTATTCAGGTGGGAGCTAACAAATCAGTAGAAGCAGTTGGTTAAGAGATTAATGTCCTATAGTCATGATATTTAGATGGGCGGCATACCAAAGTAATAAAGCAATTTGATCGATTAACTATTGAAGTCTCCTATGGACATGATATCTAGGTCAACGAAAGCATATAATACACATCCTATAGGCATGCTGTCTAAACGCACAACAATAAGATGGAGATTAAATATCGCGATTAATAACATGCTTGAGATAGTTTACGAGTATTAGACAAATTAGGTGAGGTGTGTGCAATTCTTAAAGACATGATTACTATTGGTGTGCAGAAGTAGAGCAGGTTGAACAAGATAGTGAATGAAGCAAGCGGGCCCTATAGACATGTTTCTACCCTTCATGCAAGAGTAAAGCACACTCATTCCCCTAATTTCACTATGGCCCCAATTATTCGTTATTACAGACCCAAAATAAAGAATACACGCTCGAATACTACAAGCTAACATGAGTACAGGCCCAATAAGAAGAGCAAGCCCAAAGAGGAATAACCCAGCAACTTCGAGGTCTTCAGTGATCTCATTCTTCACACAAAATAGTAAACCCAGGTATGGGGACACCCCAGGACATTAGAGTGTATCAGCTGCATAACTCGAACACAGATTCATACCAAGTCTAAAGGGGGAAACTAACTTACCCAGCAATGCTAAACCGCATAAATAAAAAATTGTACATAAGTTAATCAGACCACCTGAAGTCCACACACTTAGTTCTTAGGACCACAACAAACAGTAGTTTAAACCAGAACATGTAGATGAGATCACACGAATTTATATATATAAGATGCTAGAATTTCAAAGACAGGATGGAACATCAGAAATTAGCAGACAATCCCAAATAGACTTTCAAGACATAATATGATCTAAGATAAAATTAAATACAATCTTGACAGGGGAATCTTGCAGAATCATAAACAAAAAACAAGATTTCTAGCATGAAGGTCTGGTGCAAATATGATCAATAACAAACAAGCCGATGAACATATTCTGTAACAATCTACTCGGCTGGGAATGAAGAATTTAACATTATTAATCATACACAAAGGTTTAAATAGTACTAGAACTCATAATGGTCAAGGATATGTCGAATATAGGTTAACACGACTAGCCTGCACTAGGCTTGATTCACATATGGGAAAAAAGGCTAGAAATCAGGTTTACCCTAAGGTCTTACACAGTGTTGAAGAGCACACGATTGCATAAGTCGAAGCATATATTATAGTTTAATAGCATAGAAACAGGCCTTAACTAATAGTGCAACATCAGAAACTTAGCAAGTTGGATAGGAATGACTTAGGAAGGTCTAGAACATATGTATTGATTATTACAAAGACACAAGACAGGGCAGGGAACAAACATTAGTTTACAAGTAGCAGGGAAAGTATGTTTGAGCCAGTAACATAATTAGGAGTTAACTCTAGAAAAGTACTAAGTCACACATGAATGATTCAACAAGAATTAGAATAGGTTCTAAGCATGACTCAACTCTTCACAAGAGTACAGAACAAGGAAAGAAGCTAAACTCAGAATAAGCAACGACAATAAGCATTAAACATATACATTTGAGCAAAATGACTCAAGACAACAAATAGGCAAATTCGATTCTTATAAAGCATAGAGCCTCAAGACGAGCTTTAGAGTATACAATATTGTCACACCTCCTTTTTTACTACACCCCCGGAAGGGTATAATAAAGGGAGTTTTTTAAATTAAAGGACAATCGAAACAGG